GAAAGGTGACAATGTGGATTTGTCCAGGGAGAAGGAGAGAGAGCTTTTCAGGGTCAGTGGATTTCTCTCTTTTTTTTAGATATGAAGCAGCACAGGAGAGAAGAATGTGATTTTTCCCTGTGAGCGGTGAGCCGATAAGCTTTGTGAGTTGGAGATTCTACTCCTTACAGAAAGGACTGACGTGAGGCCTGCTCCTTTGTTTGCACAGGGAGGGTGCCCTCTGCTATCCCTGCGAGGGAGCGATTAGGATCCACGTTATTTCAGGAAGTGTCTTTATGGTCCCTCCAGAGCCATCTCCCTGCTCCACCTCCCCCTCAGCCAGCCCTGGGGACCTGGCATCCGGGGCTGTTTCATCGTTAAGTTTACTCACCACTTTCTGACCACGCACAGTGAGGAGCTGGGACAGTCCCCGTGCCTGTTCCCTGGCTTGACGGCTGAGGGTCCGTGAGGCCCAGCTTCCTGGACTGTCCCCTGGTCTCACTGGGGCTGACCTTAAGCCTCCATCTTACCATTTTTGAGCTTTCCCTTGTTCTCTATGTTCCCATGGGTTGGCATATCTTCCTCCTCGCAGCTGATTCCCAGCTTCCTATGAACCCCCCATCACAGCCAGATGGACACCCAAAGTGCTCCCACGTGTCCCACGCTTTCTCCGTCACAGCCCTGATCATGCTAGATGATACCTCTCTATGTGCTTGTTTTCTACATAGGACTTTGAATATGGAGAAGATAGTGGTTAGGTCTTTTATCTTGTGACCCCAGATCCAGCGGAGGGACTGGCACCTGACAGCAACTTGCTAGAGATGGAAGTAGATGATTTGCCCTACATGGCAGATGGGGAGAGGGTGCTCTTTAGCACAGGTTCAGGGTATGTCCTTCCAAGGAGAGGGGAATGGGTCCTCTGAGGGGATCTCGAAAGTCAAGGAGAGAATGAACAGAACGTTCTTGGGAAATGTCCCACCTCCTGCTCAGGGAAACGCACTGACGGTGCCGCTGATGGGATCTTATTAATTTCGCCCCGCCACTGCCCACCTGCACAAGGGTGTAGAAGGGACCGAAAGCCACATTAAATCTACAGTCAGTTATGTCTATGATCCCCGTAGAGCATCTTCTGGGACCGGTTTTGAGAGATACGCTGTGAGACATTAATATTTTCTCTTCCTTTTAAACTCTCCAAATGATACACCAGGTCGTAAGACTGTGGCAACTTTGGTCTAAGGCAGTCTTATGCCCTTGCTTCTTCCCTTCCTCTCTCCCTCTCTCCTCTTTTCTTCCCTTCCTTTCTCTTCCTCCTTCTGAAGGTTTTCTACGGGTGACATATGAACTGTTGTAATGAGCCGGCCACAGACGGATTTGCATGTGACTGCTGGTGGGCTCGCGGACAGCCCTTATAATCTACACATGCTGAGAGGGCCGGTGTTGGCTGGTAAAGAGGCCGTGCCCCAGACAAACTGTGTTCGGCCATCTGTGAGCGATAAATCAGGCACCCCCACCCATGGCCACCTAGAGCAGAAGATTTCTCACCACGTCTGAGAGTCTTAGGAACAGGAGTTGTGTTTTGTTCATCTCGGCCTCCACAGCGCGTCACTCACCGTAGGTCCTTGAAAATGCTTGTTGAATAAATGGACATAGTTCAGCGTCCGTCTATGACAGAGTTTAAAGTTGCGTGCTAATTACAGATGGCAGAGAGGACTCTGGGAGGCCTCCCACCTCAGAGGCCAGGAGCAAAGCCAAGAGTACCACAGGGTGTGTGTACCACTGAACAGGCAGATGGCAACCGCACATCCTCAAGTGAGAGGCCACGTTGCCGCCAACACAAGGTCTGCCTGGGTGCGGGTGTCTGTGTTATCTGAACTCTGAACCAGGAGTCTCAGAAAACATGGCAAAGCTTCCGGCTCGAGATCTATTTCCTTGTCCTTGAAGTCTTCAGATCTACAGTAAAAATAAAAATGGACAATGGAGTTTCCCTTTTCTTTTCTAAGCCAAAATGAAGTGCCTTCCGTGTCGTTGGCACTTACTCAAGACACATTTGAATGAATGATTTGAATGTGCAGGCAAGCTGGCAGGGACATCTGTCACAGTGCTGATGGCCAGCGCGGATTTGGCTGGTCCAGCTGGCTGGGCGGGGTTCCTCGCCGTCCCTCGGTGCTTCTCCCGGAGCTGGGGGAGACAGGCTATCTTCTGAGGCAGAGCGAAGCTTTTCTTCTCTTTAAGGAGATGTGACCAGGCGTTTCTCAGGGCGCCTCTTTACCTGTTTCTTGTGACCCATTTACCTCCATTTGCATAACTCTTATCTATTACATAATAAATCCCACCTTTCCAACCACCAATCGTCCAGAGCTGTGGGAGGCCTTTCTCTCCCAGCTTCCTTATATGGCGGTGTGCGATCTTCAATCCCAGAACTGATCTCTGCATCAGGGCCCATTTTTCTGAAGGCAGGTTTTTGGCGGAGCTGCCAGCCTCATAAAAACCAGGTAACGGTCCTTACGAGGCAATCGCTTTAGCTATTGTTTCCCAGCAGTTGGCCCTGAGAGCCTAGAAAGGACCCCGCTATTTCACTGCAGAGGAGCAAAAGGAGAAACAGCCACCGTGGCAGCAGCGTGTAGATGGCAGGGAAGGTGACTGCTAATTTTACAAGCGCTTGGAGATATTCTGGCACCTTTATAGGACACCGGGAGACCCGCAGTCACTTTTGCTGGCCGACTTTTCAATCTCCCAGCGTTGAAAAACTCACATAGAAAAGAACTTTATTCCGCTGTGCAGTTTTCTCTAAGGTCAATATCGCATGTGGAATGCCTGATGGGAAATTGCTATAAAAATGGCAGCTAATTACTGGTGAGTGGATAAACAACCCTCTTCTCCTGAGAGCTTATGCACATACATAGGTGGAAGGATAAAATGGGGCCGAGTGGTATTTTATTTCTTTGTGTTTATCCAAGTCACTGGCCCAGGCAGGAAAGTAACACACGAAAAGGGACATTTTTGGAATAGTTGTTTTTGAATTATGCTCATGAAATATACACTCTGCTGTGGAGGACATGTGGGAAAGCTACACTCTGATCGCGTGACTAATTTTTAAAGCCTTGCACAGAGAGAATTCTCCCCAAGAACACAGCTGGGTTATTCCTTCGTGGACTGCATGTGTCAGTACGAATTGAACTAAAATGAAATTTTATTCCATTATGGCAAAGTAAACTGAGGAGTGGACACTACAGCTAGGGTATTACGTAGTAGTTCATACACCAAGTACTATTATTTTATTAATTTTAAGAACATGTTTTACATAAAACAGGCAACATCAAAAAAGCTCAGTTGATAAATGAACATAATATATCACAGATGATTTCATTCCACATTAACCTACATTTATTAGCTTAAACTGAGAGATTAGGAAAAAATTGGATCTCATTCCAGCTTTAATCATGAATACAAATCGTTTCAAAGTTATTTTGTTAAGATTCCGAAAATCAAAGATTAACCTATGCCATCTGATCCATGCAGCAATTGATAAATTCAGTATTTTCAAAGGAAACATTGAACTTTTTTTCTTGCACCAAATTGAAACCATTCAGAAACTTGTTTAAATGCGTCAAGTGCCTAGCCCGCCTTTTTAGTATGCATGAGCAAAATATTATTTAATTTCACACTCAACTAATCCTTTAATAATTTTCTTTCAGCCAGAATGAAAAAGGCGATTATTCATTTCCTAATAAAAATTTTTAAAAAGTTATCGAGGATAGGACTCTAACCTTGGACCGGTTTCAATTTCTTTTTATTTTTTCTGAGAATACATCAAAGGTTAATGTCAATGGCAAGTGAGAAATTGTCCCTAGAGAACTATCCAAGGTCTTTTTCTTACCACATCGGTCGGACTGGAATGAATTGGCATTATAGCATCTTTATGATCACTTTTCAAGTCCTCCTTTCTCTTAAAACCGACAGTGAAGGCTTGTAGAACTATTATTTACTTTAAACTAATGAAGTATATCACAGACAAAAATATACAATTTTACATTAAAGCAACATTAAGGGTCTCACTTCAGTTGACCAAAAAAAAAAAAAATGTTGAGGAAATTGATAGATGTGGTTTAAATGTAGAGACAGCTCTTCCTTTAGGGGAAAAGGATGAACTGAGACATCTCGCTTGTCTCCAAGGGCAAGATGTTGCAAACCTCATGATCAGAATACCTGCCAGTTAGAAGCTCCCTCACCGAAAAACGATCACCATGGCTTCAGTGTTGAAGCCCAACAACAACAACAACAACAAAAGGTGGGGTGGGCGCCCCAAACAAAGGCATTCTAAGCCTCTACACTGAATTTCCTGTTTCCCGCCGTTTGAGACCCTTAATAGTACTCAATGGATGGTTGCACATTTGAGATGATTCAAAACTAAGACTGGTTTAAAAGCGCCTCCACCTCAAGTGTGTAAGTACACGCAAATTAAAGATTCCTCTGACAGTCTTTGGGATCCCATTTGTCACTGTTTTATGTATAAAGCACCACTGAGCCAATTTTAAAAGCACATTTGCAGGGAACAAGTGTTAATGTGTCCCCAAGTTTTGCTGATTTGTTTGCCTTTAAACAAAAAATGTTTAAAGTATGCTTGCTAATTTGCACTCTTGTTATCATATCTAAATTGACAAAAATGTTAATTTCGGAAGTGCTTTTAATCACTGTTTCCCTCCAACAGACTAGAATGGCTTCATGAAACTCGATGATTAAATAAAGAAATTAATATCTCCAAAAGAAGCAAGTATCTGCATGCAAAGTTAGGGTCTGCCTGAGAGTGTTTGTCCCAAAGTCCTAATGCGAATGGCAGGCAACACGCAGAAAAGGCTAACCTTTTGACTGACCAACTTCAAGTTTTTAAAAATCTTTGATTGGACCAAAAAAAAGTCACATAGCAGTTTTAAAAATTAATGACTGATAAATTATAGAAAAGATATGTTATCTACCATATATACCGGGTGACTCATTATTTATTTATTCTTTTAAACCCACGTCCAAATGAATAATTACATTAAAACTACCATCTTGGCTCTTGGTGCTTTCCAAAATTCTGAAATGATAACGAAGGAGAAGATAGACCAGATTTTGTTGCTGTTGTTGTTGTTTTTCTTCTCGGGAGAATTGGGCAGAGAAGAGAGGGAGGTGCACCTTCACTCTTGGTACAAGCCCTATAGAGCAAACCAGCCTAGGGCATCTTTTTATGGTCAAATTAAAAACCTTTGAAAATAGAAGTTTATCACAGCAATGCTGACAGATTCGTACCCTGAGAAGGGCCAGCAGGCAACACAATAATATTGAGAGCTCTCCCTGCAGTGCAAACGCACTGCCCCGTGCAGGTGACAGAGTTGTTGGCCGAGCAGGTGCCCTGGGCCAGCAAACGACCGTGATTTAATGCGCCCGCCTTGGTCCCACGGTAGCTCGGTGACCCTCTAAGCTAAGCCAATTTTTCTTTCCTCGTTTTTTTTCCAACTGAAATATGCCTCAAAGGGTAAAGGATTGCAATTTTAGCCTTCATTCATGTATATACTGCTTTCTTTCAGCAATATCTGACGGGCCTATTAACCACACCCCAGGGGGTGCTGAGCAGGTTGGACAAGGGGCTCACTGAATACAAAACACCAAGCATTTTCAGTAGTTTATTTGCATTTTTTTCTCTGCTTATTTTAATATGCACCATGTGTAAGTTAGATGAGGGCTACGGTAAAAACATTTTCAATGACTGAAATCTTACTTTTCCTTCTAACGATTCGGAGCAATCACATAGTCATTGATTATGATGAATAAAGTGATTTCTGCTACAATGTCAAAAAAAAAAACATGTTCATCGATATGAACAGTTCTCATCTACAGAGATGATTTACACAATGCAAGTAATGAAAATGTTCTTTCTTAACTAGTCTATTATTGAACTAAAAAGCTGAATCTTAAAATTCCCTTGAAAATACCACATGGTCGGTCATGTATCAATAAAGGAAAGACAGTCCCCATCACCAGGCCACTACCATGAGAGCTATATTAAATACTTAGAAAAAAAATATGGAAATACTCGTGGCAATGATTAAATTGATAGTTACAGAGATACACTGCCGTAATGGTACATATTTATTCGATGATAAAGTGAAAAAAAAAATAAGATCAATTTGATTATAGAAATTCCTTAAAGAACACCACCACTTAATTATTTCAAACTTGAACTATCCCAAGAATGTCATGAAAAAATTAGAAAGCACTGGCTAAAAGCAAAGCAGTCTGGATACACCAACGTAATCGGCATGCCTTGTGCTTGTCTGTTAACCCTCTGAGTACACCTCCGACATTCAGGATCCCGATAGCTGGATGCTGAAAAGATTGCATTCCCTCTGATCACTCAATATTTCTATTGACAGGACACATTCCACTATTTATTCAGCATAGATCGCTCGAATTCTACAGCGACGCACTGCACTCCCCATGCTGCATGGGCCATGCGTCCTTCCGAGCTGCCCGCCACAGCTTGGCATGGTTCACAGTCTCCCGAGACTTGGATGAAAAAGGCCTGAGCTGTGCACCGCAAGCTCTGTGCACTAGATGCTGTAGCAGTACATGTAACGCACATGGGAAAAGCAGTCATCAGAGAAAGAAAGGAAAGCGACAGTCTACTGCAGCGAGGTCTCTGCCCATAGCATTCTTCATATTCACTCATTTAGAGTTGAGGCCAAGCTCAATGGTGACTCTTTGGTGTTACTTAGACTAGTGCTTTGCTTCACAGTTCTAGAGAAAGCAGTGATTTCTGATCAGTTCAGGGCACTTCATTAATGTGGAATCTGCCTACACACCAACGCCCTTTCTGGTGTTCTGTCTCCCCACCCACGTCAAAAAACAGACTGATTTGTGCTACTCTGCGATGTTGCGTGCTATCATTTCAGGACTCTCTAAAAGGGGGAAAACTCTCAATAAATAATCTACCACTTACATGTCAGGGCGACACAGACCAAAGAAATAAATTTAAAAGTGGAAGAGCAAAAATATTGGGGGTACTATGTTGCAAAAGTCGTGACATATTACTATCTTAAAATTTATATTAATATAGCCCACAGTTTATGAGCTGGAGGGTAGACAGCAGCAACTGAAGACTGATGTATTCTTGAAAATGAAGAAGTGACTAGAAAGGTTGAAGACCTTCAGATATTTAAGAAGATTCAAAACAGGGACAATAAGTGCTGTTCCATCTCCCAGATGCAAATTTTATGAGACACCGACTGTCTCCTGGGTCACAGTGCCAAGCAAACCTTAGCAGGAGATATCTGAGTCGGGCCCCTGCCCCCAAGACGCCCTAAGCATTGCAGTACCGTAGGAGAAGCCCCATTCTGAATGCGATACATTCCAGAAGAAACTCCATGGAGACACAGGGCTAGGGAGAAAGACCTGGTAACAGGAGTGAAAATACAGGTAGGAGGCAGACAGGACTCATCCCACAGAGAGAAAAACATGTCCCTCTGCAGAGCTAAAGATGGGGGCATAAAAAGGTCACCTTGGGGAAAGTAAGCTTTATCCTCAGGGGGATCTTCTACGTCTCCTACCCTGTTCTTCCTGGGAGACTATGTGCAGGTAACCTAAAGGTACACATGAAATTATTTTACCAGTGATTGATTTCCTTAAAACTCATTTTTTGGAACATTCCGGATTGTTTTCTCACTGTGCTTTCTCCTCAGCCATCTTGCAAAGCACTCGCCTCTGGCTCCCTGTGCCCCGGAGCTCCTACGTGTGGATTTAATACTCTATGTGGATTTCACACTGAAGACTGCAGTGGATGAAAAAGCAGGTGAGAAAAAGAACGGGATCTTATTTCCTCTTTCTGTTTGAAATTCTAGCCCTATAGAGCACCTGGCGATTTATTGCTCTTTTCCACTGGTTGTTTATTTCCTGTAGATGTCTCATATTGAGCAGGCAGACCCTCCCTCACCAAGCACGAGACAAGGTATGTGACTTCCCAAGGGTCTGCACTGGCACTAGCAGCAGCTGATGTGGAAGCAGCATTTCTGGGGCGTCATCAGCACATCTTCATGTGGAGATAATTCGGGGGAGGAAGCACCATCTCTTTCATTGGGCCACAGACCCAGTTCCCTCCGCTCGCATGCAGGACTCACGGCAGCTGACAGTCATGCCTCTAACGAAAAAAGTCCCTTTCTTATTAAGATTGTGAAGAAGAAAAAGGGGGTGATTATGCTTAAGTTATAAACCTGCCACGTTCTCCACCCACAGAAAAGGGCAAGCGAGATATGGTCCCAGATGCCCTTCTTGTCAGGACATCTCAGCATCTAAAAACACCCCTTGATCTGCAGCAAAATCAAGACATGTGCATACACATCCAAAGGCCTGAAAATTCCCCAAGCGTTCTCCATGAAATCCTATGCACTCAGAGGGTTAACATGTGCTATATTACATACTGCAGATCCTAGCTCGACTGATGAAAACATTCATTGCTTTTAAGTTTAAAAAAGTTGCAAAGTAGCCTTAACCCTTTGAGGACCCTATTAGCAGCAAGTTGCCATCTTCACAAACAACAACATGTCATCATCTCATTCAGCAAAGGGAAATTGCTACAAAGTTACCAGAAAACACACTTTCTGTTCTGCCATTCCAGCACTGAGTGCTGGATAGATCAGACGAAACTGCTTTACATAAATTTGGAAAAATAACCTCAGAGTCTCAAAGGGTTAAGCTAGGACTTCGAGTAAAAGGGTCTCGTTAAAAGGGCGAGTTTGGGGAGCGCACAGTCTCAGACGAGCTTGGGGAGTAGTCTTCGGATTCGGAGTGGACTTCGGGCGGAGCTGGCTGGGCCTTGCACCGGATCCTCACATCCTGGTTGCGTCTTCGTCGGAAAACCTGCCTCTCCTTATCAAGAGCGGTGGTCTAGCAGGGGCATAAAATGAGAAAGAGGACAATTAGGCCGAAGGAAATGGCCAAGGAAGCTCTTTCTGGCACTTTCTGAGATCGTACACATATGCTGGCCAAGTTAACCTGTCCATTACGGCTCACTTTTGTGGACAACAGTTTACCACCACTACTGGGGGGCCTTCCTGCTCCCCAAGATGCAGCTCCTAAGGGCACCTGGTTGTGACAACGGCAGGCACAGGCAGGATGGATGATGTTGTGGGCTCAACAACCTCTCCCCGGCCCTCCCCAGGCTACCCCTAGCTCCACGCTTATTACCCGTGGTCGCCCCTAGGCCGGCCGGAGAAGCACCTGCTGCTGGGCCGCGGGCCTGTGTGTCCGACCTGTGACGCACAGGCCTGGGGCCCATCAGCAGGGCTTCTCGACCTGTGAGGACCTGTGAGGACACCGGGCGTGCCTCGTCCATCGGCGTTCAGCTCAGTGCAGCCACATAACAAAGATGAAGGGCGATGAACTCTTCGGACGCGGAAAGGAGCCCCAAGCTCCTCCTCATTCTAAATTATCCTATTATCTGTTGATGAGGGGGTGTGGCTGAATCTCTGGGAAGAATTATTTTAATCTTAATGAAACCAATGCCTGAAACCGAAAACTGCTTTGAGTGCAATTGAACCGGATGGAATCCTTCCCATGGCTTTTCCTTTAAACGTGCATTTTCCATCCTAGTATGTGGTAATTCATGAAACTGCGATTCGATTTCATAGGTATTCCAACTCCTGGTCTCTACAGCTCATTTTCCCGAGGAACCTCGGACGATCTCCAGGATGTGCTCCCCGGCTGTGGCTCTGGAAGTTATTATGGCGTCAGAATTGGGAACGGCATGAGTTCATTACAGATTTAATGGGTGTGGGGAGGAACGGGGTCATTACAGAGAAACCTTACACACAGAGCAGAAGAGCAGGTACAAAGCCCGAAGAAAAATATAGAACACATATAAAAGTTGAAGGCGTCCTTGTTTGAAAGTCCCTCTTTAAAAGGACGTAGCCTGGAGGTTATTCTGCTTTTAAGAGATTACTTTTCCTCTATAGGGATATATACCACCATTTTTCCTCTTGAAAATTTACTATTAGCTTCTTCAAAGAACAGAGATAAATTTATAGCCGGCCTGGTTCTGAGAACAAAGTGAAAACTAAGCCCCTCGTACCATGGCAGTACAGCATTGGAGCAATCTCAGATCTAAAGTAAGGCGATCAAAGCTCCAAAATGAAGTAATAAAGAGAGAAAGAGAGGCAGTGGGCAGTACCAGCACAGTAAATGGCTGTGTCAGGCTGAGCCGCGCTGCTTTAAAAACTATCCACACACTGAGCAACAGTGTTACAGATTCGAGGAGGAAGATAAACTTTAATAATTCACTTATCCTTTCACTAGATTGTTAATATAGTGGTTCAATAACTGGTTTGCTGAAATGTCTATGTTTAATTTTCCTACTTGTCAAATTTTTAAGGACACTCATCTGCATAGTTCTTGGTCTTCCAGCCACGGATTTTATGATATTTTCAGCATCATAAACCCCAATTCCTAACTTTATTTAAAGCACTCTAAAGTTACAGCACATGGCATTGTGCTTTCAAGGCAAACTGAAAGTGTTTGTGTAGAGCTGAATGTTTGTAAAAAACAGACATCTATTTAGTCTGGCTTACATGAAAACCATTCTGTAGTTAATCTAAGAGTAATATAAACTCTTCTTTTGCTCATAAAACAAACAAACAAAAAACAAGAACAACAAAAACCCCCCGTCTATTTCTACCTTCTCGAGAAGGAAAAAGTCAAACAAACAAACAAACAAACAAAAAAACCAACCAAAAAACTCCGTCTATTTCTACCTTCTTGAGAAGGAAAAAGCTCCCTGGCGTTGGACTGAGTGCTGGCTAGTGAACTGAGGTTTCTGTCTCGGGGAGGCAAAGCCCGAGGATGGACAGTCCCGCTCTGTCCAGCGCTGGCTATGAACCAGTCACTCAGCCCTCAGTTCAGTAAGGACAGGGCGTAATCCCTTCCCGTCCTCCCAGAGCTGCTGCAGGTAAAAGTGGACATGTAAATGCTTTCTGCATGGCTCAGACTCCCAGAAATGGAAAGTATGGGGTTTTTTTTTCCTTTACAATTTTATGGAAGAAAATTTTTTTTCCTTTACAATTTTACGGAGGAAAACAATGCGAGGTAAAGCCAGCCTTAGAACCGACCTCAGAGTACTTTCCCTTTCTCCCTACTCCCATGGGCACCGGCTCCATATCCACTTTCTCTCTCCACAGTCTACTCAATTCCAACAAATCATGCTCTTGGCTGCAGCCATTGAAATAGGTCATTTCTCCAGAAATGCCAAATCCAGTTTACGCAAAGGCCGGCGACAAATTCGGGTGGTCCCATCCCCCTCAGTTTCACTTTCATTCCTCCAAATCCTTTTAAGGGCAATCCTATCCTCTTCCTCACTGTCCCTCTTCCCAGAGGACCCTTGTCCTGTCTCTTTTAAGTGATCAGTTCTCTCCACTCCTACCGACGTCCTCAGTTAGCAGCTTTAAAACTGTTCACCTTTGCAGGTGACTCCTCATGCTGAAGGGCTTCTGTGCCTTCCGTTGTACCAGTAACTTCATGGCAGTTACGTTTGGAAAACATATCATGTCATGATCACATGTCATGGAATACGGGTGTGACGGCTGTTTCTGCTGCCTTTACAGACTTTAAGAACTGAAAGAGAGTTTTTATAAAGCATTCTTTGCCCCGTGCTCTGCCGGTCCCGGCTGCGGAGCTGAGGCCAGGCATGTGGACAGACTCCCCGCCCTGCATCGGTGACTAGGAAGAGAACTCCGTTGTCCCCCTGTGCAACGCCCAAGCGGTTTCTTCCCATTTACTCTGAAGTCTTTTGAAACAGGATAAAACGGAGCCACTGCACTTCAGTAGCTCACTCTGCCTCTGTTCCCAACCAGAGTGAGCTGGGGAGAGGACACTCACCACAGGCAGCATGGAAGGCCAAAAGAAGAGGGGGTCCCCATGCTGAGATCCCCTCTCAGGACCACAAGCCAGGGTCCACTGCCTGTCCAGTCCCACTCCAGACCTTTAAACTCCTAGGGACACCGGAGTCTGAAGACAGAGAGGCAATTTCCTACCCACCCAGGTCCTTCCCATACTCTCGAAGGCTACACGATTCATCTTTAGGGCTCTCGACTGACTGGCTCTCAAAGGTGTTCCAGAGAGAGCCACTGCCCCAGACTGCTGCTCACGCTGCTGCCAGCTCCACGGACTGTGGCTCATTATAAGAACTTCTTCCTTCCCAGGGTTCCCATGCAGCCTGGCGCTGCTGTCACTGTGCATCCTGCCCGCACTGCCGTGGACTGTCTTCCCTGCCATGCTGCAGATGCTGTGGGGGGCAAGACCAAGTCTTGGACCCCTGGCTGTGTTCGCCAAGTTCATAGAACACAACAGATATTCTACGAAGGTTGTGGCTTTTGCTATATGGGAAAATACAACAGAGGCCACATCGTTTCCCTCCTGGGCACTCAGCCCGCAGTCCATCCTACACACAGCTGACAGGTCAATGACCCTCAGGTTTGATTTATTCGCAATTCCTCATAAAGCCCGATTCCCTGTCCTACCAGTCACAACACGCTTACAACACAAATTTCCAGTGTCTAGTTCCTGTTATTCCTCAAAATGATCCCGTAACGTCAGCAGACTCACTGTTCCCTGTTAGCTGACATTTGGTTTTCTTGCACAGCATCCATTTACTCTGCTTAGGGTTGGCCGTGCCTCAGTTTCTCCTTGGACACCCTGAGCTCCTGTACTCTTGTGGTTCCAGTGAAGACGACCCTACCCCCATCTCTGAGAGGGGGCAGGTGGGTTGGTGACCCAGGAACAAGCCTGAGTTTACTGCCTCCCCAACTACCCACGGCTGGTTCAGGACGGGCACCCACACCCGGCTGGGACTGGCATATCTATGAGGTGCTTTCATCGCTCTCACCTCCCCACCTCGGCACAGGGTGCTCACCAACCTGAAATGACCTCTCCTCCTGTCTCCCTATTCACGTTTATCCATTTTCCAGGACTGGATCAAAGTTCACCTCCTGAATCACACTTTTTCCTTCTAAACGCCTCAGGCAAGCATTGCGTTGACCAAACTTTTGGCATTTACTGCACACAGGCCTCTTATTATCTTTTCTGCGCATATTCCCCAAATATCAGCTCCTCAATGGTAGAATCTGAAACTTCTTTGCATTTTCCAGAATGCCTAGCATACTGTGGTATGCATATTAGTGGCATTAAATATTTCTTAATTAATACAGAATTAAGTTATTTTAGATGATTATGTCATTTCTGAATAAGCAAAATGTAGAACCTAAAGTAACTCTTTAATACAAAAGAGTAAGAAGTTAAAAGTATTATGAGTTAATATTTAAGAATACGATTTATGTTTCAGATAGGATCAAATGCTTACATCAGATAAAGTTAAAATTATCTTACATATTTATCTACTCAACAATCGCTTACTTGTGATAAAAAGTTCAACTTTTTATCACAGTGAGCACTGTAATATATGATATTTTTAGAATTTTAATTGTGGCTATACAATTATATGCAATTCAATTTTTACAATTGAATTCTGTAGCCCCTACACGCAGTTCAGGACAGATGAATTCAGCAAGAAATAGAACGTGTTATTACGTAATTTTAAAAAGGTATTCATTCCAACTGGTAATTTTCCCCCATAAAAGCATTCGAAACCGATGTGCTGCATCACAAATGTAAATTCTGGGTTCTTTCAAACATTTCTGAAAGGCTGATTTCTTCTTTACCAATCACAAAAAATTCTCAGATATCAAGCAAACAGGGTCTCTCCTCCCTAATGCCTGTCTTTGTAAGGTAGGGTTGTCCTCAAGTATCGCCTTCATATGCCCTTAAAACTTAGAACTTCCTTATGAGCTTATGATTGTGGTAGTTACTTTGCTCATGAGTTGTAGCTTTGTGTGAGCCAA